CCCTAACGTGGGGCAAGAGAATAGCGGTGGTTGATCAGGAAACTGGTACCTTCCGGTACCTGCCTGGCTCTCGTGGTAACTGGTACTCTTCTAGGTTGAGGCAACTAATGTTGCAGTTGAGGTAAAATTCAAAGAAACGCAAACTTTCATCCAGTCATGTGTATAACTGTGCAGTTCCTGAGTCCGTTCCGCCTGGTGGTATCTAAATGAACTGAGAAGAAAAATAAATTCTTGATGTGTGTGTGTGTCTCTCTTTCCTCTCAAAAACTTTATATAAACCTGCTGAAGATTTGGGTAGAATTTTCTAACTTTAGGTACGTTGCTGCCTTTAGTCTTCAGACCTTTTCTAATTCTGAAATTGGTGTTTTTTAAGTCATTGCCAGTTGTTTTTTCCTTTTTCTTGTTCTCTAGTTTGGACTTTGCCCAGAGTTGACAAAAAAAAAAAAAAAATCCTGTGTTGGGTTACATAGGTGAAGAGGATTTCTGTTCCTCTTTCTGTACAATTTGCCTTGTTGTGGTCTTTTCTTATAGTTTCCTTAGATTTCCACCTACAAGACACCGTGCTTCTTTATTTTGTTGTTTGAGATGTCTCTGCATTTTAGTTAACCAGGTAGATCTTTGAGAAGTACATCACTTAGAGCTCTCCATTTCTGTAAGTGTTTGTAGATTCATGCTCTGATTTTCTTGATGCTCTTCTGCCAACTTAATTCCTTCCAGTTTTAATCCTTAAAAGGCTGGGAGCTGGAATAAGATATGAAGTATGGTACTAAACCCCTGTGTTGTTTTGTGAGCCTACAGCAATCTCAGCCAAGGAGAAGAAGGTTTTGTTATCACGAGTTCTTACCCATTAATCTTGCATGCAGTGTTTATGGGCTGCAAAGCCATAGCAGCCAGCTGCTTGGGTTTTAGCCCATTGTAAAGGCATATTAAATACATGTTACACGGTGACCCCTGCCAGCTTGATGAGTACAGATTAGATTGCCGTTAAGCTTCGTTAGAGTCTCTGTGCTGTTGACAGCTGTATCTCTAAACATCTGTTTCTCTAAAATCTGTTTCTCTAAAGTAATAATCTGTTTCTCTAAAGTGATAGGACAAGAGGAAATGGCCTCAAGTTACACCAGGGAAGGTTTAGGCTGGATATTCGGAAAAATTTCTTCACTGAAATTTTCATTTTTTTCCAATGAAGTGACATTGGAACAGGCAGCCCAGGGAGGTGGTGGAGTCACCATCCCTGGAGGGGGTCAAGAAACGTGTAGATGTGGTGCTTAGGGACATGGTTTAGTGAGTTAGGTGGTGTTGGGTTGGACTTGATGATCCTTGAGGTCTTTTCCAACCTTAATGATTCTATGATTGTATGATCTAAGTAATGGGGTGGGGAGACAGAAACTTTATGTGAGAATAGTTCCTTCTCCTGACAGAAAATCCTGCCTTGCTGCTTTTTTTCTGGAAGAGAAGAGTAGCTCATAGCTTGGTGGAGCAGAGGCATAGGCTCTATTTCCACGGCCCACGTGAGTGCTGTAACCTGGGGAGCACTGGCTGTTGTGGGGAGAAGGGAGCTGCAAGAGGGATGTCATTGGAGATATTTAATCTTCTTTCTGGCTTCAACATCAATACTACAAATACAACTGGCTTCAACATCAATACTACAATTAAAAAACTACAAAGTATGTCCTGCACCTGGGAAACGTTTCATGACAAAAGCTTCATCAAAACTGATTACAGAAGGTTTCAGGTTTGAGAAGTCTGTTTTTTCCAAAGAGAGGGGATGTTGTCAGGAAAAAACGCAACTGTCATTTACTATTTGGCACTTCATATTTTTCTAGGAGGTGTGTGTTTTAAGTATATTGTTTCTGCCTTAAATTATAAGCAAGCGTTCTTTTAAGTATATGGTTATTACCTGAATATTTTTGTTGTGTTTTGATATAGTATCACAGTTTATGAAAAACAGCTTTGTTCAATTTAAGCTGCCTCTGTGATGGTAACTTATTTGCCTGTTTGTTTCCTTCTCTCTCCTGCTGAGCTGTTTTTCTCCTGGAACTGGGCAGACCATGGCATTTGATGCTAGCTGATGTAACCTGTTAGCCTGAAAAATGTGGTGACATTTTTGTGCTGTAAAAATGTTAAATGTTGTGTAACCTGTTAATGTTAGGGAGCAGAACATGACTTAAAATCACAGCAATGAGCATGGGGTTACATGAAAAAATGTCGTGTTATGGCTATAGCAAGGACTGCCCTGGCAGTTGTCTTGACTCGCCTGCTGATTACTCATTGATCTGGAAGCAAGTCAAGCTAAAGTTTGTTGGGTTTCCATTCCTAGCACAAATACTTCCTGATACTTGAACCACCTCTGAGTCAAGGTGATGGGAATTTTTCTAGTGACTTACGTGCCAGTTTGAATGTTTCTACAATGCTGTATTTAAGGATCTGTCACAGTGGTTGTACTAAAATGCCACCAGTTCTTCCCTCACTGTCTCCAGTTCACTCAACCATTCATTCTGTCACGGCTTCTGCATCTTGCACTATTTTGCCTTCTCTTATTTCACCACACCTGCTTGCAGATTAAATTTTTTCTTAAAATGTGTGTGCGTGTAGTGGAAACATAAAGTTTCATGAGTATGTTGAACATTGCAGTGTGTTAGCACTGGGTTACCGTGTAGGTCGTGAAACCAAGCAAAAGGGAGGCACGACATGCAACGTAGCCTGCGATGCACATGTGTAGTAGGCTGGTATCAAGAAATTTCATTATATTCCTAGAATTTGTCTTTAACTTCATATGATTTTGATTTCTGTATTGAACAAAGACCCAGCTATCTGAAGTAGAACAAAAAGATTAAAAAACTATGCTGCTGTCTCAGATTGAGTTCCATGACTAGGATTAAATTGGGGGTCTGGAGTGTATGAATGGCACTCTTTCATGCATGGGTGTTCAAGAGCAAGATCAGCTATTTGGAGATGCTGGGTTAAGGAGATTAAATCCCTGCTGAATGGATGATGCACAGGTGGTGCCATAATCCTGAAGTCAGATAACTGTGGTGAAACTAAGCCTGTATATTAATAACACATGAATGCTTTATCTCCAATTGTCTTTCCTGCAAATGAGTTTTAAAAAGAATGTAATTGTGGAATGCTAGACATGTTCTGAAGTAGCTGATGGCAGAAAGCCAGCTGAAAGGGCCGAGACAATAATGTGTGTTTCCAAAAGGAACTGCTCCCTACAGTGTGACATTAGCAGGTGCAAGGAAGAGGAGCTCTGTGGTTGCTGTTCTCTAAACTGTTAATGCAGGAAAAATTGGCATTTCTGGAGCAGTAGCTATTTCTTTTGTCAGGTGTACTTGATGTACTTTACTAACTCATAAAGAGGACATGTTTTTAAAGTACTAAATAATGAAAAGTGACTAAAAATGGCACATTTTGACATAGGATTTGCTCCTTATTCATGACAAGTCTTACTTGTTCTGCTGATAATGTTTATAAGCATCTTCCGCACTTGATGTTAAATCTGAAAGTACAGATAGGTTCTTAATCACGTGTGTGTTCACAAGTGGAGTGAGAAGAAGGTGATAAATGCCCTTAATTTTATTGATGGGACCCTTTCCTTGGATGAGACAGGCTGTGGAGAGGGTTGGTCCAGTTGCTGGTTTTGCTGGTGACTGGCCTCCCTCTGCCGTGGCAGCACTGGTGGCATCTCTGCAGGCTGCACGGTGTTCACAGTTGGGATGCGGTGCACAGCCGTGATGGCGTGGACAGAGGGAGCAGGTCTGGCTGCTGAACTGTTAGATTCATTCTCCGTAAGAGAGGAGACATTGGCAGCGTTAGAGCATACAGGTTTTGTGGCTGGTCAGCAACACCATAGTTAATGCTGCCTCCGGAATTTGGTCTTAGTACGAGAGTTACACGAACATGTTCCTTTAACCTCAGCTCACCTGTGCCTGATCCATTTGTGACAGAGTAATTAACCCATATTTTGTAAACCAAGCAAAACTAAATGACTTTCTTATCCATTGTCAAAGCCTTGACAGCAACACGTGTTTAATTCAGCCATACCTTTTGATTGTAGGGGGAAGAGTAAAAACGTGGAAGCGGAGATGGTTTATTCTGACTGATAATTGCCTGTATTACTTTGAATACACAACAGTGAGTATATATTACAGTGAACTTTGTTTGTGATCAAGATATTTAAGTGGCCAATAATGTGATATTTTCCTGATCTTTTAGGACAAAGAACCTAGAGGAATTATTCCATTAGAAAATCTTAGCATAAGAGAAGTTGAAGACCCTAGAAAACCGGTAAGATTTTTTTTTTTTTAAATGAAGTAAACCATACGGAACTTAGACTAGTGTTAAATAAAGATGTTTGTCAATTTTGTTTTGTTTTTTAAATTTATTTCTTCATTTCTGCCCTACAGAACTGTTTTGAGCTGTATAACCCGAGTCATAAAGGTCAAGTAATTAAAGCGTGTAAAACTGAAGCTGATGGTAGAGTGGTGGAGGGCAACCATGTGGTGTATAGAATATCTGCTCCCACCCCAGAAGAAAAGGAAGAGTGGATTAAATCTATCAAGTGAGTTCAAAGTCTTAAATGTCTTTCAGAAATGAAATGTAAGCTCTTTTTGGAGTAAGACGCTAAGAGAAAATTCGTATTCTAAGTTGTCTGAAGAATTGTGATGTGGCAGTGCCCTCTGGGATTAATGACAAGCTGTGTGGGGTTGATGGACCAAGATGCAAGTCTCCTGTTACTGTCTCATCCTAAGGAAATAGTGCTACTAACTCAAATGAGGAAAATGTGATTTTTTTTAAAGCAAATAATAAAGCCTTGTGTGAATCGTCTTTAACCCTGATTTTATTAGATTCTTACTTCACCTAACAATTAACCTTAGTGACATGTACCTTAGGTATGTTCACAGTGCAGCTTTAAACTTTCACAGCTTGACTTTATTTTGTAAGGTTTATAAAGCAGACCCACACTTAAATAAATAAATAATGGTGAAGAGGAAGGTATACACTCTTAACAGATCAGAGCTGAATAACATCTTTTTCTTCTAAAGAAATACTTGTGATGCTTAGAAGTCAAGCATCCATTATCTTATTAAGAGTGTGGAGTCGGCACAGTGAAGAGAGAACAAAATAGTTTTAGTTTTCAGAAACAGATATTTGTTAACCTAACTGATGATTCCTTTTTTTGTCTTCTAGAGCAAGTATCAGCAGGGATCCCTTTTACGATATGCTGGCAACAAGGAAACGAAGAATTGCAAATAAGAAATAGAACACGATCAGCCACTGGGATACCTGCATCAGCCTATAATGAGCATAGGGTTGAGTGATAATGTAGAAATTGGACAAACTAAATGAAGACAATAACTGTAAATCTTATATATATATACACTTTGCTATCACATAAAAACTTGGTAAGACCTTTCAGAGTAAATAGTTATTGGCATATAATTTGAAGTAATTTTCAAATCCCAGAGGATGATTATATTCGAACTTAACTGAAAACATGGAAGCCTTGTTTTCACTTGTATTCGTTACAACTCCAGTTTACATGGGTTGGGAGGGAAGGAATTTGAGGTTAATAGTAAAATGTCCTATACCTGTTATGTGAGTGTATTTCCCAGAAAAGGAGGAGTGATTATAAGACTTCCATCTCCTACTAAAATGCAGCACCAAAAGTGGAGTACAGTGTAATCTAGCACTTAATTCTTCTGTAAGCAGAAACCCCACAATCTCAATATTGGTTGTCAAGTCTTGGGTGTTTTGCAATAAACGAACTGCTGAGTGCAGCCTTCATTTAGGATTCACTCTCCTATCCTCCTATCTTTATGGAAAAAGCTTTTCTTCTTCAGAAATGCAACTCGGCAGTAGTCTGGCAGCTATGTAGTTAACTAGTTGTGCCAAAGGGTTTGGTTGATATGCACTGAAATATATGCAGGACCCAACAGCAAAGGTTTGAGTCTATAGATGTGACACTAAGTACAGATGTGGTTTGATATTTGCCAGTAGGCTAAAGCTTATTCCCATCTGCTCATACAATAAGAAGCAAGATTTAATTACTGGTTTTATCTGCTTTTTATATAGTAACATCCTTCTTATGTTTTCGATATGTTGTAGTTTAATGAACACTAAGTTACTACTGAAGGAATCAGATGACAGGGCTTGCCTGAGTTTAGGCTTCGCCTGTGAAAACACCCCCAAATCATTTCCCATGCGTTTGATGTCTTTCAATGGAGAAAGCAGGAAGGTGAAACCTGCCTGTAAGATACAGCCCCAGATAGCTAAGCAAGCAGGATTCATCTCTTTGCTTGATAACAAACTTTGGATATACAGAAAAGTTCAGGATTTTTATTGCCATCTTAAAGGCGATTTTTCAGATCTGTGCTTCAGCAGTTGAAATTGAAAAAGTGAAGAGACAGCCTTGTTTTTACTGAAAAAATAAAATCTTTCGTGTCCATTACCAAGTGTAACTAGACTCCCACACAGGCACGTCTTTTTTTTCTTTTTTTTTTATTTGGGGAAGATCTTTCTGTGGCCTTACTGATAGTTGTCAGTAACATGTAAACT